GGGTAGCGACAGTGACGCCTGGAGGGGCGTGATTGGGAGGAACGGCCCCCCCCGATCTGAACCCGAGTGATGTCTTGCTATTGGACTTCTGTGCTAGCCACAGTTTGTCCATAACGAACACCATGTTCAAGCATAAGGGTGTCCATCAGTGCACATGGCACCAGGACACCCTAGGTCGTAGGTCGATGATCGACTTTGTGGTTGTTTCATCTGACCTCCGGCCGTATGTCTTGGACACTCGGGTGAAGAGAGGGGCGGAGCTGTCAACTGATCACCACCTGGTGGTGAGCTGGATTTGATGGCGGGGGAGGAAGCTGGACAGGCTCGGCAGACCCAAATGTATTGTGAGGGTCTGTTGGGAATGTCTTCTTCTCTTTTTTTTAGGTTCTCTTCTTTTGTGGTACACTCAAAACATTGCGAAATAATAGAACATGAGATACGAACAATAAATTCCTCAACACCCATATAAAACGGTTATAACACTGTGCAACTGCATATTTCAACCCATCACAACAAACCATGAAATTTCCTAATGATCTACCATGTGACGAAAACAAACACCCCAATGCATCACCACAAAGACAAAACACGCTCTGGCAAACAAAAGAAAACAACACTCTGATTCTGTGAATAATCAGATTACTACACAAGCTTTTGCCATTTTCCACCCTTAGGCAAATCTCAACCAGATCGTCTGACTAAGAATGACAGTGATGACAACCATCCATACACACACTTGATTTTTAAGTACATATACATGGAGACAGGCAAGATTGTTCATTAATGAAATCACATAAAGCCTTACAAAACCCTTTTTTTGTTTGTTTTCACAGCCACTCCCAGCTCAGCCGGCTGCCATTCTTTTGGGTAAGATGGGAAATCCTTACTGGCAGGGTCAAAGTTGTCCATGCAGAGTACCCCACATCTTCCATGGGCTATTGCGCTGCATGTGCCTGGACACTTCCACAGTTATGCAACTACATTGCAACTTGCAAGCTGCATGACTATAGAAGTCTTCATAACTGTGGGGGTGTCCAGCCACATGCAATTTAAAACAGCATGCAGAAGATGTAAGGTAGTGCTTTGCCAGTAATTATTTGCCTTTGGTTGGTAGAGTGGTGCAGACTTCAACCCACTACGACAGTGCAATATTCACAATTGTTTAAAAGTATTTAAGATGCTATTCATAGGATAAGTAATGTCCTCTGCCCCTGTAGACTGCTAAATAT